GGAATTTGGCTGTTTTGTTCCAGAAAGGAAGCAAAGCAAAGGCACACCTGCGTAAAACCCATTTTTCCACTGTCCTTGTCAGTCACAGTAGCATCCTTACACTAGAGGATGAATCCTGAGCCCACAAAGAATTCCTAATTCAAGTTATGCCTCAGCCGGAAATTCTCAGAAGATGAACTAGGCAAGAGAGCTCTTCCCCCACGGGGCAAAGAGACGTCACAGTCTACCCTACAAGGCTGTCATGAAGATTCTTGTAAGCACGTGGCCGTTTTATTCTGCGTGACTTGGAAAACAGTAAAACCCAGGCTTTCAAGGCCCCCTCCCCCAATGGGACTGGCTCCCCTGCTCTTTCACACAGCACCCTTGGGACTTTCGGGTGAGCTCAGCCTGGCTCAGCCTCTTGTCAATGGAAATGCAGCTCTGGTTGCATCCAGGGAGTGAGAGGTTTGTCAAACAGCTGCAGTGGTTGTGTTGCTAGCGTCCTCTCTGCCACGGGTGAGAAGCCTGAAAGGTGGGGGGGGGGCTTCTCACCTCCACAACAGCCAAGCCTTCTCACCCAACTGGGCACATTCTGGGGGGAGCCCGAGGGAGGGTCTCTGTCTTGAAGCCCTCCCCACTGTCACTGCTGCTCTTCCCAACTCGCTTTGTTGTGTGTCCGGTGGAAAAGCAGAGCCGAACAAAAGCAGCTCTCTTGCCCTTGAGGAAAATATATGGGGGGGAGGGGGGAATGCAGGTGCTGCCTTGGTCAGGCAGGAAGGTGGCCACTTAAAGTGTGGGGGGAGGGAGAGACACTGCCAGGCAATGTGAGGGTCCCTGGAATGATCTCCCTCATCAAGGAGCCCTTCTCCAGCCTGGGATGGTGGGGAGGGGGGGCTAAAAGGCACCTCAAAGCTGCAGGGCAAGCAGGAGAAAGCTGTGTCCATTTCACCTGGGCTTTGTCCACTTCTGGCCCATGCGCAGTTCTGGGCAGGGAGTAATAGCTGCTCTCCCCCTCTCTCCTTGTGCGGCGCACACACACACCACACACACACACACACACACACAATACCCACAGTGATTGCAGTCAGCCAGCAGGCTTCACCTGCCCTCCCAATGACAAAAATAGCAAAACAAAGGCAAGTAACCCCTTCCCTTTTCTCCCCCTCCCCCCTCGCCCCTATTTAGCAGCCCGTGTTCCACGAGGGCTCCGGGTCGCTCGTCTTTCAGGCCAACCAGGGCAAAAGAAAGGCGGGCAAGGAAAGAAGCGGAGGGCTCTCAAGGCTCGGTCTCCTCTGCGAGGCCACTTTGGGCTTCCAGGCAGAGCAAAGGATGCTGAAGCCTCCCCCTCCCCCCCCCTGGAAAGGAGCGCCCAGACCGGCCTCCGCATTGGACCACTGGAGGAGGGCTGGGGGCGAGCCAGAGCAGGTCTTGCAAAGACACCCCGCCTGGGAGACGCTGCCCTCCTTGCCAGCTCCTCCCTCCCTCTGGGAAAGGAAACTCTCGCCCAGGGAAACCGTCCAAGGAAGGTTCTTTTGGGGAGGGGGGAGGCCCGGGGCCCCGGAAGAGACTTCCTTGCTCTCCGGGAAGACCCCCGGCCGCTCTCCCCACGTAGGCCACGAAGGGACTCAGCGAGGGGAAGGCTGGGGCGGTGGGGAGGGGGCGCCCCGCGCTGCCCCTTCTCCGACCTGGCCGGGCCCCCTTTCCCCAAACCCCACCCAGCTGCTCGAATGGGAAAACCGGGCGGGCCGCCGTTCAGCACCACGGACAGCGTCGCGGCTACTCCGGCCGGCCGGCTGCGCTAGCGGGACCCCAACTTCCCCGGGGCGGCGGGCGGCGGGGTCACCTACTTGGCTGAGCTCGGTGCCCATCAGCAGCAGGACCAGAAGGCTGAGCAGCTTGCGGGCGGGCGGCATGGCTTCGGCGGGCGGCTCCAGCCACGGGCATCGGCGGCCGCGTCCTCCGCTTCAGGCGACTCGGCGCTCCCGACTCCCTTCGCAGCCCCGCCGAGGAGGCGCTGGCGGGCTCTCGGGTGGCGGCGGCGGCGGCGGCGGCGGGCGGTTTAGCAGCCCGAGGCGGGACGGCTGGAGGCAGAGGGCATCCTTGCCGGGCGCGGCTCCCCCGACCCGGCTTCCTCTCCGTCGCCCGCCTGCCCTGCCGGGGCTCCCAGGCCGGGAAGAGGCTGGCGGGAAGCAGAGCCAGCCGAGCCCGGAAGGGCGGTCTCCGCTCCGCCGCTGCCAAAAGTTGGGAAAGCAGGTGGAGGAGGAGGAGGAGGAGGAGGAGGAGGAGGAGAGGGGCGCGGGGGATCGGGCGGAGAAGGCAGGGAGGGAGGGAGGGGAGGGGCGGGCAGGCGGGCGCCGCGAGAGCAGGGCCGGGAGCGGATGTGACATCAGGCGGGGGCGGGGGGGGGCATTTGATTAAACAGAGGGAAAGTGAGGCAGCCACGGAAGGGGCAAGCGGTGCCCCCCGCCCGCCCTCTGCCCAGCAACCCCCGTGGGCAGCCCGGCTCTTCAAACGCACCGGCCGCCCCTGTGGGAGAGTAGCCGCCCCTCCCGCCTGAAGAAGCTTCTTGGGTGAGAGGCGAAACGTCTTCAAAGAAAAACCAGAAAGTCCAGTTGCCTCCCCAACCCCCCCCCCCGCCCCTTTGGGATTTCGGATCCTTCCGAGCTGAGGTCGCTCCGTCTGGCCGGCAAAAGCTTCTGGAAGGCGGCCTTCGGGTCGTTCTCTGGCTCTCGCGGGCAAAGCCGCTTCATCCACCCCCTTGAAAGTTTACATGTGCTCTATTGATTGATTGATTGATTGATTGGTTGGTTGGTTGGTTGGTTCAGTTTATATGCCGCCCTTCTCCGGAGACTCAGGGCGGCTTACAATGCGTTAAGCAATAGTCTTCATACTTTTGTATATACCTGCTTAGTAGGGCTTTTGCCCCCCCCCAAGCGGTGTTCTTTTTTATACAAAGTCAGCTTATTGCCCCCACAAACCGGGTCCTCATTTTACCTACCTCGAAAGGATGGAAGGCTGAGTCAACCTTGAGCCTGGTGAGATTCGAACTCGCAGTAATTGCAGGTAGTTGGGGTAGTTTTCCCTCCAGGTGGGTGCAGAAAACCCGTGCTGGCTTTGGCCTCCTTGACCTGCTGTTGTGTGGGGTTCTGATCAGCTCAGGTGATTGTCCAGATTTCTCTGGATTTGAACTTGAAACTAGTCCAAGGTTTCCCCCCCCCAAAAAAAATCCATGTGCTAGGAGCCCACAACATGTGTTAACAACCCTGTATGGCTGGAGAAATAGAAACCAGGGGTGGTTGCTCAACACAATTCCCTCTGAATTGTGATGCATGCCCACCCACCCTTTTATAAACCAAACCTATAAGTCAAGCCAGACAAGGAATAATGGATGGAAACTGAGCAAGGAGAGATTCAACCTGGAAATAAGGAGAAACTTCCTGACAGTGAGAACAATCAACCAATGGAACAGAAGTTGCCTTCAGAAGTTGTGGGAGCTTCATCCCTGGAAGCTTTCAAGAACAGACTGGACTGCCATCTGTCAGAAATGGTGTAGGGTCTCCTGCTTTGGGGGGGTTGGACTAGATGACCTCCCAGGTCTCTTCCAACTCCATTCATCTGTTAATCACCCTTTTTTTAAAAAAATCCAAGAGTGGGAAAAGGCTGTTCCATGATGGAAGGTCAGCCCAGGAGCATCCTTGAAAGAGAGAACTGAGCCACCTTACCTTGGGGTGGCAACTTTCCTGTAGATCCTCTTTGATCCCTTTGATGGCTTCCTTCCTCTTTGACCTCTTCTGGTCAGTGGACTGGGGAAGCCTTGAGAGAAGGTCCAGATCCTTCAGTGGGTGCAGGGCCCCAGTGGGATCCAGTGGCTTTGTGAGGCAAATTCAAAATGACCTTTTAAGGTTGCACCAAAAAACTCATCTATTGAGTTACATGAAAGAAAGTTTGTCTTGGAATTTCTTTGGAAGGAGAAAAGAGTTGGGGTGGGGTGGGGTGTCTTGCACTTGTTTAATCCCAAGGCAGCCAAAGACCATATGTGCATGTGCACGGCATACAAATTGAATTAATAAATAAATAATAAATAAATAAATGTTCTCCTTCCCTGGCTCCCCCAATCCCATCCATACCCCAGAAGGGAAGCCCTATAGATTTTCTTCTCCTTCTCTTAAAGCTACTCAGAAAGTCATTCTGCCCAGAAATTTGCCATTTGGCTTCTTGAATAGGCCGTCCTGAACAGGCCTCCCTTTGGGACAGAGATTTTTCATGCTGCAAATTATAATAAGGATGGTTTAACACCACACAGCTTGTCCTTTCGGAGGTGTGGTGGTCCATCTGCTTTGGGGAGTTCTAGCACTGAGTCCAACCAATTTCAGTGCATGTAGGTTGATGCGCCTTAAATCCTAAACTCGGCTTAACTAAACTATTATTGCATCCGCTTTATCCTAGGAAATAGACCAACTTAGTTCATGACACATGTTAAAGTATTGGCTGGTTCCCACAATATGCCAACCCCATTTTAGCATTTTAGTGTTACCTGAAGCCAGTTATTTTGTCACAATAGTGACACTGGATTAGTAGTCACAGCTGTCCCCAAAAAACACCCCACAATTGTTTGCTAATTTTTTCTCTGGTTGGACACATTCAAACAGATTAAAATGATTGGTGTTTCAGTGTAAGCTAACATAATCAAATACTTGCCATTTCCTTGTTGAATGCAAATCCTCAGCCTGAATGGAGAAAGACTTCTATAATATGACGTATCCAACTAAGGAACAAAGAGATGTTTCCAGGAGGCCCAGGAAAAGGGGAAGAAACGAACCAACATTTCCATGTCTTCAGAACCTGCGATATGGCTTCTAAAGATGGAGAAGCTTTCTTGATCTATCATTGTCAAACATATAATTTACGCTTCCTGGTTCACCCCTATAGTCCCATAAGAATCTCCCTACTAGAACACATCTGGGGCACGGCAGGGTGTGTGTGATGACCTGGGACAAGGCACAAAGGTCACACAGCCAGGCTGAGAGTTCAAACTCCCCTTTAATGCTCCAAATTTCCCCCCAAACGCTTCCACGTTCTTGGCAAGTCCCAGAGCAAAGTTCACTCACACACACACACATACACAGCAGCCTCTAGCTATGCCCAGTCCAGCAAAACAAGGGAACAGGGATATGAGTCCACAAACCAAGGAACAAACAATGAGTCCACAAAGTCAGGAAGAAGCAAGCAGTCCTGCAAACACCAAATGTCTGTCCTGGCACACCCAACTCTACCAATTCAGCACTTGTTCCCAACAAACACCTCTCCCCACAGTGTCTCCTTAAGTCTCAAGTCCCCAGGTGTGCTTTGTGAAGAGGGGTGGGGTGCTCTCCTCCCAAGTCATCAGGTCAGCCTGTGCTGTTCCCGCCTTGTCTCCACTCTCCATGCTCGGGGATCAGGAGGTGGCAGTCCTTGCTCATTGCCTGAGAGAGAAAAAAGAGGAGAAAGAGAGAGAAAAGAGGAGAGAGAGAAAAGAGGAGAGAGAGAGACAGAGAGAGAGAAGGGAGAGAGAAAAGAGGGGAGAGAGAAAGAAAAGAAAGGGGAGAGAGAAAAAAGTGGGGAGAGAGAGAGAGAAAAGAGGAGAGAGAGGGAGAGAGAAAGAGGAGAGGGAGAGAGAGAGAGAGAGAGAGAGAGAGAGACTTTCAATATGTGTCCCTCCTTCCATGCCCAGTGCTGGGCCTTCTTCCTGGGATGTGGAGTGGGGGAAACTTGCTTCTCCTCCGCCCCGCCCCCCCCCCCCCCCCGAGGCTTTCGGCAGCCTCCTTGCTCCTTTAAGAGCGGCCTCTTCTTCCCGCAGGCAGAAGCCAAGGCAATCAGGCAGTTGCCACAGTAACAGCACCAACTTCTCTCCCGGAAACAAGGGGCAGAGAAGAAAGCAAGCAAGCGGGTGTCCTTCAGAGAAACTCACCCAGGATGTCACAGAGATGGTGTCAATATTGCCGATGGATTCCATGTGTCAAAGAGATGGCATTTCCTTTCAAAATAAAACATCTCTGTGATCCACAAGTATATGTATGTGTGCGTGTGTGCATGTGTTCACACGTGCATGTACACCCCAGAATGCCCTATACTGTCATTGCTTCTCGTGCCTGGACACATCAGCGCTGCCTGTCTGATCAATGAATTCCAAGCTGCTTTCCAAGACAGAGCTTGGTGGCCGCTGCCCTCTTGGTTGACCTGGGAGCTATTAGTTGGTTAGCAGAGCCTCTTCTTGTTCCAGGCAGAGCCTGACTCCAGGGACAAATTGTTCCCCCATGTGAGACGGTGTCAGAGCAAGACGTGGCTGCCCCATCACTCAGATCTAGTACATGAGCTGTGTCGGGTAGGTGTGAGGTAGGGAGGAGAATCGGTGAGAAAGGAGACTTAAAGGCTGCTAAAAGATGAACAGATTAACAGAGTTGAAAGGGATCTTGTAGGTCATCTAATCCAACTCCCCACCCAAGCAGGTTGCGTCCCTTTCTGGATCGGGACTCCTTACGCACGGTCACTCATGCCTTCATCACCTCCCGCCTGGATTATTGTAACGCTCTCTACATGGGGCTCCCCTTGAGGAGCACCCAGAGGCTCCAACTGGCGCAGAGTGCGGCCGCACGGGTGGTAATGGGAGCGACATGGCGTTCCCATGTAACACCTCTCCTGCGCGAGCTGCACTGGCTCCCAGTGGTCTTCCGGGTGCGCTTCAAGGTTTGGTTACCACCTTTAAAGCGCTCCATGGCTCAGGACCTGGGTACTTGCGGGACCGCCTACTACCACCAATAGCCTCCCACCGGCCAGTACGCTCTCATAGAGAGGGGCTCTTCCGGGTGCCGTCGGCCAAACAATGCCAACTGGCGGCCCCCAGGGGGAGGGCCTTCTCTGTGGGGGCACCTACTATCTGGAACGAGCTCCCCCCAGAGATACGGAGGATCCCGGATCTGCGCACCTTCCGCTGCGCTCTAAAGACCTTATTATTTCACCAGGCGGGCCTGGCCTAAATTTTCTCCCTCTTTTATAAAAGATTTTTAATTTTTAATATCTTTTGGTATTTTATATATTCAAATTTTAAAATTGGTTTTAAATTGATTGGGGTTTTAATTTGTCTGGGCCAAAACTATTTAATTTGATTTTAATTCTACTTTTAAATTTTATATGTATGTATTTTATTGTTTGGCTGTGCACCGCCCTGAGTCCTTTGGGAGTAGGGCGGTATAGAAATCAAATCAAATAAATAAATAAATAATAAATAAAGCAGGAGACCCTACACCATTTCTGACAGATGGCAGTCCAGTCTCTTCTTGAAAGCCTCCAGTGATGAAGCTCCCACAACTTCTGTTCCATGGGATGATTGTTCTCAGTGTCAGGAAATTTCTCCTTGTTTCCATGTTGAAAAGGCTTTCCTTCCACAGAGAGCAGACAATACATTGGCCAATCCAGTCCCGTCTGCAGCTTCCGGCACTGTAGAGGCTGTTCTGGGGTTCAGAGGACAAGGAGGAGGACAGGAACCAGAAAGTACATCCAGTGCAGAGAGACTGAAGGAAACACCCAGCTTTAAGAAGAGAAGACCGAATGAGCAATTGAAGGGCTCTTTGAAATCCTGCAGAAGGAAGTCAAGACATCCCTTGTGTACAAGTGCAGGACCAGTGGTGGGCTGCTGACAGTTTGGACCGGTTTGGGCAAACCGGTAGTTCCGATGATTAGCTGGCCCCACCCACCTGCACCCGCCCTATCCTGTCCTATAGTTCCTTCTTTCTGGCTCAGCTGGTGTTGTGGCCCGCCAGCAGCCTGTGCGGATCATGGCTGATCTCGACGAGGAGGCTGGTGTGGTGTCAGGCCAGCAACCTGCGCAGCCGGCGTTCGCATCGGACAGCGAGGAGGCTGAAGAGGATGTGGTGCCAGAGGCGGAGACTCAGCCAGGGCCTTCAGAACCTCCAGAGGCTCCTTCAAGTGCAGAGAGCGAAGTGGAGGAGCCTCTTCTCAATGCTCGAGCACGCAGGGCTGCCAAAAGGCAGGAGTGGCTACTCAGGAGGAGGAGGTCTCCTCGAGAGTAAGGCTTGAGGATAATTGGCCATTCCCTTAGCCTATTTAAGTCACACGCGGTTAGTAAGTTTCTTGCTGGAAACAACTTGTAATTATCATCAGAGCATTTTTGGAAAAGTCTTATCGTATCTTGCTTTCTGGGCTGGTTGCCAACCTTTGCCGGACTTTGTTTTATTCTTGCTACTTAATAAATTTGATAAGGACCGTTGGTGTCTGTCAATAACCTCGGGAATCCGGAGCTGGGGCAGAACAGCTGATTTCCACACCTCCGCTGTTCTATTGACCAGGGCTGCCTTAGGAGGTAAGCAGCTGAGCTTCAAATTGCTGTATTTTGAACACTGTGCGCAAGCGTGTTAGGTGTGCACACAAAGCCCGCACTCGCGCGAAGCGCATGCTCACAGAACCGGTTGTTAAACTGGTTGCAGCCCACCACTGTGCAGGACCCTCTCTGCTCTCTGTGGAAGGAAAGCCTTTGGGCAGCCATTAAGTCTCCTTCCTACCCCACACCTACCCATGTACTAGATCTGAGTGATGTCTTGATTTGAAACAGTCTCACATGGGGAACAATCTGTACCTGGAGTCTCTTCATAAATGATTTAGATGAGGGACTAGAAGGGAAACTCACCAAATTTAGCAGGAATAGCCAACACCCCAGAAGATAGGCTCAAGATCCAGATGGATCTGGACTGACTTGGACACTGGGCTCTGTTGAACAGAATGAAATTCAGTTAGAGAGAAAAGTAAGGTTTTACACTTAGGCAAGAAAAATCAAATGTACAGATACAGAATAGGCGAAACTTGGCTCAACAGCAGTAACTGTGAGAGGGATCTTGGTATCCTACTGGACAATCAAACTTACGAGACCGCCTTCTGCCTCCGATAGCCTCCCATCGACCAGTACGCTCCCACAGAGAGGGACTCCTCAGGGTGCCGTCAGTTAGACAGTGTCGACTGGCGACCCTCTGGGGGAGAGCCTTCTCTGTGGGGGCACCTGCCCTCTGGAACAAGCTGCCCCCGGAGATTCGTCGGATTCCCGACCTTCATACCTTTCGCCGCGCCCTTAAAACACTATTATTCCATCAAGCAGGGCTGGCCTAAAATATTTTTAATGGGTTATTTTATTTTAGATTGTTGGCCAAATTATTTAATAATTTTAAATTGTTTTTAACTTTTATATTGTTTTTTTTATCTTGGCTGTACACCGCCCTGAGTCCTTCGGGAGAAGGGCGATATAAAAATTTAATATATATAAATATAATTCAATATGAGCCAGCCGTGTGCTGCAGCTGCCAAAAAAGCCAATGCAAGTCTAGGCTGCATTAACAGAGGGATGGAATCAAGATCAGGCGAAGTGTCACTACCACTTTATAAGGCCTTGGTAAGGCCACCCTTGGAATGTTACCTACACTTCTGGTCACCACAAAACACCAAAAAAGATGTGGAGACTCTAGAAAGAGTGCAGAGAAGAGCAACAAAGATGATTAGGGGTCTGGAGGCTAAAACATGCGAAGAACAGTTGTTGGAATTCCTGACAGAACAATTAAGTAGTGGAATGGATTAAATCCAGATGTTGTAGGTGCACCATCATTGGATGCTTTAAGAAAAGACTGAACAGCCATTTGTCCAAAATGATAATGGGTGTCCTGCTTGAGCAGGCGGTTCGACTAGAAGACCTCCAGGGACCCAACTCTTATTCTGACCCAGATTGACGTGCTTCACTTAGAGGAAAGAGGATTCCAACTGAATGTTAGAAAATCCTTCCTTAAGAATGATTGGACAGTGGAACCAGAGACTGGGGGAGGGGGGCTCAGGGCTCCCCTTCATTCAAGCAGGGGCTGGACAGTCATCTGTCTGGAAGGGTTGATCCATCTGTGCAAGGAGTTGCCTTCATGGACTCACTGCCTCTTTTCACCTCAAAGAGTTTTTAGGTAGCTGCAGCCAGCTCCCCATCTACCATTCAGCGCACTGAAGACCCTGTTATTCCGCCAGGCAGGGCTGTCAATATAATAATTTTAAATTGGGGTATTTTAATTTTTAGGGTTTTAAATCGGCCAAATTTATTTAATTATTTTAATTTTTAATTATTGTTGTGTCTTGTGTTTTTAAACTGGCTGTACACCGCCCTGAGTCCTTCGGGAGAAGGGCGGTATAGAAATAAAAAAAATATAAAAAATATAAATATATATAAATATATACCATGACCAGCGGTGCTATTCAGCCGGTTCGTACTGGTTCAGGCAACCCGCCCGGCTCTATGCCGTCCTGTTTAGGCAGGTATTCGAGGCTGGGTGAATGCGTGGAAGGTGTGCGAGTGAGCAAAGCGCATGCACAGAAGGCCGGGCGCATGTGCGAAAGGCACACATGCAAAGTGAGTGTGCGCACATGTGGCGAACCAGTGGAAAGAATATTGGAACACTGACCACGACCTACACATCCAGTGAGGCCGACCAGGTCTCTCTGAAGCCCTTTGGGCCGCTCCCTTTGTGGCCCCAACATCAGTTTGCTGGTTCTGGCCTGGTGAAGGATTGGAATGGGAATAAACAAGGCCAAAGAAAGGAGTGTTTCTATTTTGCTTCTCAAATCCTAATTGCGAAATTTCATGTTTGAAGTAGGAATAGAAATAACTTGGAACGTGGAAGGGGGAATGAAGCATTTTTATCTGGCATTTCTTGCAAGAACCAAGTCTGCCAAGATGTTGTGTGGCTCAGGTACAGAATTGGAGGATCTGAACTGGATCCGGAGGGGTCAAATGAGTCTTCCAGATGGCTGCTTTAAAATGCATCCCACACCACCTCACATGTCTCCTTGGGGCACCTTAGCTCTAGGGAACCCCACAGACTGTCCATCCGTTCATCCTAACTCTTCTAGGGTTTCTTTGTTTAGTAGAGCACCTGAATGAAGAAAGCACAGCTTGAGTAGCGATGAAGGAAGGAAGGAAGGAAGGAAGGAAGGAAGGAAGGAAGGAAGGAAGGAAGGAAGGGCAACAGCAATAGCACTTAGACCTCTATACCACTTCACAGTACTTCACAGCCCTCTCTAAGCGGTTTACAGAGTCAGCCTCTGGCCCCCAACAATCTGGGTCCTCATTTTACCCACCTCGGAAGGATGGAAGGCTGAGTCAACCTGAATAGAGCATTAAGTCATCCTCTTGGTTTGCAAATAGATTATTCTTTAAAGTTGTTGTTTAGTGAGATGAAAAGAGAGAGGCAGTGCTACTTCTCCTGGCTTAATTCTGCTTTAAAAATTCACCCTATTAAACCATAAATGCAATGCAAACATAAATAAAAAGAAGAAATGTAAACCAGGCATTGAAGCAACAAATTGCAATTTTTTATTATTATTTTTTGTTTCTTGGTTGCAAGACTGATGCTGGCTTGTCCAAAACCTACTTTAAAAGAAACCTGGCTTATCAGTGTGATAGGTGAACAGCCTCAGGGCTTTTCTGAGCCTTTGAAAGGCAGGCTGGGTTGGAAAACATCTGGGGAAACACCTGGAGCTCCCCTTCTGCTCTTGCCGGAGGGTCTCTTTCCTGCTACCTGCTTCCTTCTCCCCAGCAAAGAGCTGCTGCCATACAATACATTTAAAGCAGTTATTGGCTTAATTTGCACAATGTATTAATTCACAAACCTACCAAATGTCCACCTTTGCACAGCACATCAGATGAGATTAACAGAGTTGGAAGGGACCTTGTAGGTCATCTAGTCCAACCCCCCCAATGCCCAGGCAATGGCCATCCAGTCTCCCCTTCAAAGCCTCCAGTGATGAAGCTCCCACAACTTCCAAAGGCAACTTCTGTTCCATGGGTTGATTGTTCTCAGTGTCAGAAAGTTTCTCCTTATTTCCAGGTTGAATCTCTCCTTGATCAGTTTCCATCCATTATTCCTTGTCTGACCTTCAGGTGCCTTGGAAAACAGGTTGACCTCTTCCTCTCTGGGGCAGCCCCTCAAATATTGGAATCACATCACATCAACATTGAAGCTTAATGCTCATTCGATGGAACAACTGTAACTAAGCTGGCTAAATGGGTTGTGTGAATGAAAGCAATGTATAATGTGTTTCCCCGAAAATAAGACCCTGTCTGAGAGAAATAAGGATTATTCCTGTAAAAAGTATAACCTGAGCTACGCCATTTTAAGTGCCTTATTTTACCTTGTATAACCTGATTATATAATTTAGCTAAAAGGACATAATAAGACTTAGGAACATGAGAGAAGGAACTGTGTAATTCCTGTGTATGTTCTTAAATGCTGATGTATGTTCTTAAAATCTGCTTGTTTTGCAGGAAATCTTCTTCTGGGTCAACGTGCCCTCATTAATAAGAGGAAGTACGCATATAATGATATCACAAGCATAAGCAATATTTTTGTGTCACATATTTTTTACTGGAAAGGTGGGGATTTTCCAGGGGGCAAAACCATATGCTAAATATGTTATATAAGATCTGAAACTGGGCTCTATGGACATACTTACATCCTGTTGTATCGTGTTGTATCAGACCTGTGTATCCTGAAAATTGTATATAAGATCTGTAAGAAGAAGGCTTAATTGTTTCCTCTTCCTGTGAGAGAAAGTCACTTTGCAAAGTTATAATAAAATCCTGTATATTTTTTTGAACCCTGAAATAAGCGCTTGGCCTTATTGCCATGTGCTCAAAAGCCTGATTGGGCTTATTATCAGGGGATGTCTTGTTTTGGGGGAAACAGGGTAGAGTCATAGGGCTATCATCAAAACAATGGACCTTTCCACATGCATCACTGGATGTGGACTGCCACGGCCATCTAAGCCGTCCCTTCTAGGATCAGGCAGGCAGGACTCTCTCCCCATTTTTCTCTCTCTCTCCTCCTCCTCCTTTTCCCGCAGGTGCAGGGTCCACTTTTGGGATCATTGAATGCCACTTTGCACGGTCAGCTGCATCTCCAGGGCGCAGGCCCGTGGTTTGCATGTCTTTGTTGATGGTGCCTCTGTTTTGCCATCTCTGTTTTGGTCGCCCACAAGGTCACCGGCCATTGACTTCTAGTAGGCAGCCTTGGCCACAGTGGAAGGTGCTGCTCTCTGGACGTGTCCTTATTGGTGGAGTCGGCCTTCTCTCATCTTCTCTAATTGGTGCCACATCAAAATGTTGTCGAATGGTGTCATTTGTGATGTGGTCAAGAAGGGGGGTGCCTGATATCCAACAGAGCCTTCGCATTTCCATGGCATGGAGAGAGCTTTCGGTCCCTGTTGTTGCTGCCCAGCACTCAGTGCCATACAGTGCAACAGGGCGGACGGTTGTCTTGTAAATCTTGGATTTAAGACGGGTTGGCATTTGTCTGCCCCATAACACACCGGTGAGTCCTCGCCAACGCATCCAGGCTGCATCCACCCTTGCTCGCACCTCACCATTGATGGCTCCTTTGCCTTGTAGGTGGGATCCCAGAAACCGAAAAATGTCCCCCTTCTTTAGGTTTTCTCCATTGATTTGAAGCGTTCCAGAGGTGGTGATAGTCTCTAAGAATCCCAGTTGTCTTAATGTTGAGGCGGAATCCGAAATGGTTAATGGGATAATTCTATGTTTGGACTTGCTGCTACAGTTCGCCTCTGTAGTATGCAGAAAGAAATGGGCCACTTCAATTGCTACCCCGTTCTCTATACCAGCATCCACCCTGAAATTCAGCCAACGCCAATTTTGTAGGTTTTAGGAAAGCTGTCAAGCTGGGGCTGTCAACT